TCTTTTTTTTTCCCTTTTTTTTTTTCCTTAAAAAAAAAAAATGACTACGAATTCTGGTCTTCAATCTATATCAGATCTGACAGCCTCGACTCGTTTAACTACGGGTGATATTCCTCCTCCACTTGTAGGTTCTTCAACAATTGTCATTGGTACTAACTTATATTTATTCGCTGGCCGGCTTGTATCTTCACGGCGAATGACCAATGAACTCTACGTGCTCGATCTGATCACTTTTGTGTGGACAAAAATACCTGATACTGAAAATCAAGCTCCAAAGCCAAGATATTTTCATTCTGCTAATCAATTCAAAAATTCTATTGTCATTTTTGGTGGAATGGGTTATTCATTAGCTTCTGATGATAATTTATGTGTGTTGGACGACGTGTCTATTTTCGATTTAGAAACCTATTCATGGATACACCCTAGTATCACTCCATCTGAATTTACCCCTCGTCCACGATATGCTCATTTGGCTGCTGTGACTGCAAATAAGTTGGTGATAGTGGGTGGTCAAGACATGTCTAATTATTATATTGAGGAAACTAATGTGTTGGATTTAGATAAAATGGTATGGGCTTTTTCACAACCATTTGAAAAACATTGTGGTGCATATCGGTCTGTAGCTGTGAGTAGCACAAACAGAACGAATCTGCCTCTCTTTGGCGATAACAATAGTGACATGGTTTCGCTTACTTCTCTCGAAGATACCTCAACTACTTCCTCTGAATCTGTTCAACCATCATTACCCCTTCGAAAATCAAATTCAACTCAATCATTACCTACAACTCAGACTAATGTTATACGTAAACCACCTTCAGTAGGCGCATTTGGTCGTCAGGGCTCTTTAAGAAGGTCTCCTTCTGGTCAAAATCTTATTCGCTCACATTCTATAAAACGAATTCAATCACAATCTTCCGGAAATTCTTTCTATCACCTTTCATTTACTATCGAAGTTACAGATGATAATCCAAACCCAATATATTTATATTCAAATTATAATTTTACTGATGTTAAACGTGAACTTCAAGTCATCTCTCCACCAATGTCGGAAAATTATAAAACAGTTGATTATTCTTCAAATATGTCTGGTGCTTTTTTACCTCCTGGTCTTCGGTTCCCAACTGGTGCAATTCTTGGTCATCATTTAATCATATCGGGAACTTATCTCACAAACTCTAATCAAACTTTTAGTATATGGGCTTTAAATTTAGTAAATTTATTTTGGATTCGTATAGATACAGGTTCTTGCTTTTCTCAAGGTTCTTGGAACCGTGGTGTTCTTTGTGAGAAAACAAACAAATATATTGTGCTTGGAAATCGTGATAGATCTCTTGTAGATGATTATAATCATCGTCAAACTAATTTCGATCATGTAACTGTTGTGGATTTAGAAGCCTTTGGCGTCTACCAACCACCACATACTACAATGTCACCGTCAGCCCAAGAGTTGGGGTTAGCGATGATGAACAATGCTAACACGGCTGATTTTGACATTGTAACTCAGGATGGTCAACGAATACCTGTTAATTCTCAATTTTTATCAAAAAGGTGGCCTCATTTCAAAGCATTGGTTGATCAACAAGCTGAAAGAGTTCCAAAATTGAAATATGAAGAAGAGACACGGCGGAATTCTGATGATGAATTTATATTGATGTATAAAAATAGAGCTCTTAAATTCCCTGAATCTCATATTGTCACTTTGGCATTTTTACAGTATTTATACACAGATCATCTTCTTACTATTCAACAATATCAACCTCATGTTTTAGCTCAACTTTTACTTCTAGCAGATATGTATGATATTGATCGTCTTCGGCAATTGGCTTCTCATGCTTTACACCAATCTTTAGACACAACAACCGCCGCTTTGATTTATGAAACGGCTGCCCTATCTCGTCGGACTGGTTTACAAATACGCGCTTTAAAGGTTATGATAGCAGCTAAAAAAATGAATCAACAACAGAAAAATAAAGAACAATCCCATGGTGTCCAATACAATAGTTCAATGATGTCAAGACGGACATCCATAACAGAACAAGACTTAGCTTTATCTGCAAATTGGAAAATGCCTAGTCCTGCAAACTCTCAACTTCCAGCTGCGATTCCGACTGAAATGAGAGTATCATACTACGATCCATATTCATCATCTGTAAATTTACCTCCTCAGCCAGGATTAGTTCACACCACTCGTTCACGATCATCTTCTTCAGCCTCTATGTATAATCGTGGTTATATGCCGACTATCCCTTACACAGTTTCGCAAACAAATATTTTTGAGTAAATACAACTTTTCTATGTAAATTATAATATATGAGTACATGGCTTCATAAGAAGACCGAATCATCTATTCGAGGGCTTTCTGCCTATACCAC